AAAAAAAAGACAGCGAGTAAGCGAGCCCTCAAAACACGAGCTGACTGCAGGACATGTCCAAATACGAACATTTGTACCCACTCTGCTGTTGACAGCGAGTCTCTTATCTTTATAATCAGGTATCTTCTATAGGCCAACTAGGCAGGATGGTAGTGTGGCAGAAACAGATCACTGAAGTCTGAAAACATGCTTGCACTGAGGCAAGAATGAAAGCAAATCTCAGAAAAGAGACACGCAGCAACTATGGGGGAAAACTGACAATAGCAAACCAACATTCTGAGTCTAAGGGTTTGGAGGAAATTGTCTTTTGCTAGAACCATTAACTGATGGACACCCATTTCTCCACAGATGTTGCTTCACATGCTGACTCTACCCACCTCTATTTCAGTTCCAGATGTCTAGCATCTCCTGTGCTCTGCTTTGAGATAGTTTCTGGTTTCATTCTGAATTTGATTGTTTTTGAGTCACAGGACAGGTAAGAGAGAGTTTCAAAGGGATGCAGCAGCTAGAGATGACTATGGAGATAAAGACAGATCACAAATTATCTGCTTTTAGCCAGTTTTCAAGGTGACGAGTATGGATAAAGCAAAAGCACACAAGGAAATTTAAACTGGCAATAGAAGGGGGAGAAAAAGAGGAGAATTTATTTGTTTGTTAGTATGGAACTAGGTGAAGTTGTGCTGCATTAAACATGCAAGTGTACCAGTTGGCATAAGGGTTATTTGGCCCATTAGCAGTTAAGCAGCCAAGTAATTATCAAACACAGACATGCAAATTTAATAGGTTGAAATTGAGAAGTTGAAACCTCTAACCCAAACGTGAAATAATCTTTAATTTACTTTTGTACCTAATCAGATTTCAAACTGAAGTTTAACCAGTGACTTAACTTCTGCAGTACCTCTAGATGATGTTACAGTCAATGACACCCTCCACCCAGTCATTATCCGACAGGTGCTGACACCCACTCCCAAAAGTCCCAGTCATTACTGAATAGCTAATGATTTGTAGATATGAAAAATAATCTGATGAATTGCACAAAGGTTGCGGTTTGGGTTAAAGCTTTCAACATAACTTGATGAGTAGTTTATCTGTTCTATAACATTTTCCTTTGGCAATAGCTGTTTGTACTGCTATTCGCAATGTACTGGCAACTGTTATCCAGTCTAGATTCAAGGGAAGTGAAACAAGGAAACAGTTGTCAAAAGAAAAAAGGTAGGTGAAAGTTTTATACATTTAAAGAGAGTTCTGGTCTCATTCCAGCAAAAGGACAGAGAAGGAGGTCAAAGACAACACTATTTAAATCGATTCACTCAGTTGAGCGCAAGACAGCAGGGGGAAATCTGACAGCTTTGAGAAAGATTAAAATAGTTACAAGTGCGAGCACTGGGGCTGTACTTGTACCGTTCAGAGTAAGGGACCAATGAATTTGCTTTTGTGGTACTTGCTCAGTAGCAGTTCAGAACAACATGACCAAAACAAGTCAAGAGCAGGGTCTCCTACCCACTGCAGAACACTTTTACATCTTCCCAACAATAACAATTGGAGGATGACACTTACCAAGGATGACAACTGAAAACTGACAACTGGAAAGCAGAATACTGGCCTCAATTTCCCTAAGTGCACAGTAACACAGAATCCTACACTATCTATTGTATCTACCGCATTGCCCCAGTGGAACAGTACCAAGTTACATGAGCTCTGGCATGTCCCAACATTCCATGAAACTTATGTCAGACACTAACCCACAGAACACCATGTAACTGAGTTAAATCCTTGTGATCAGTACACCTAACAGCAAATTGGGCAAAAGCAGGTGGAATCCAATCTCCCAGCAGGACGTGATTAATTGAAGACCATTCAGTAGTACAGTCTCTCAAATTGGCCTCCAACTGCAAACAACTGCAGTTGATGAAGGACACATGAAAGCAATTACTTCATAGTATACAACATTTCTGCTGAGAAATTTTAAAAATCCAAAAATAATTCTGCAGTCATATTAAAAAAAGTAGGGGAAATAGGCCATCAAGCCTGGTCCTCCAAACAGCAATTTCACAGTTGAAGTTCAACATCAACTCTACAATCTCACCTTTAAAAATAATATCCTTTCATTTTTGAGCACTAAAACAATCTATTAAATTCAACTTTGAATGTACGTAATGACCGAGTACTGAAGGTCTCTGGGCTACAGAATTCAAAAGATTCATACTGTAAAATTCTCAACCTTGGCACTAAACAATCAATGTCTTGTTTTGTATTCCTTTAGATGGTGCAATTAAAACAATAAAAAGACAAAAGAATTAATGTATCCCTTCAGAAACTCCTCTTTGATCAAATAAATGGATTTGCAAAATATTACTTTGCTCATACTCTCACCAGTGTATCATAACAAAACATTCATTAATACAGCACCTTTCAAAACTTCAAGATGTCTCAATTGCTTCACAGCCAATTAAAGATTTTGAAGTGTAATTACTGTTAATTACTGTAATTACTGTGGAAGGAAATTTGGTAGCCAGTGTGTACATCGTATGGTCCTAAAAATGCAGCGACATCAATGACTATATTATCTGCATTTCAGAGATGCTGGATGAGGATGAATGTTTGGCAGATAGCAAAGAATAATTTTGCTTTTCTTCAAATTCTTGCATCCAGAATTTTTGTGCTAATTATTGAAATCATTTCTGTAATAGCATTGAAACTCTTTAATCATAGCAGTCCCAGGAATGTGTCTGCACTTGCAACAGTCTTGACAGAGCAGACAAATATTTAGGGAAAAGCAGCACCAACGGCTTCGTCATTATTCTATTGAATGCCTTCAACAGGAATATAGGAAAAAGAGTAGGTCGATCAACTCCTTGAGCTTGCTCCACTATTCATTAAGATCATGGCCGATCCGTGGCCAACTCCATAATGTTTGCCTTGGATCCATTTACCTTGATTCCCTTGCTTAATAAAACTGTTTTTTTCAGATTTAAAAATTTAACAATTGAATTACCACTGTCTGCCATTTGAGGAAGAGAGCGTTCCAGACCTCCATTACTCCGTGTATCAAAGTGCTTTCTAACGTTTCCTGAATGGCCTGGGCCTAATTCTTAGACTACAGCCCCTGTTTCTAGAATCGCCAAATCAGTGGAAGTAGTTTATTTTTAACTCCCCTGTCGGCCTGTGTTAATAACCTGAAGACCTCAAGGGGTCAAGTCCTCAAGCCCAGAGCCATGAAGTGGACTATGTGGACTTTGTCTTAAATTCTCTTTTTTTTTTATTGTATTGTTGTAGAAGGACTGTTATTCTGAACTTTTTATTTCTCTATTTTCTAATTTATTACAATGATTTTGTACTTTTGAAGGTCTGTAATTCTGGACTTTTTATTTCTTTATTTTTCTAATTTGATTCTCCCCCCTAAGAATTTGTGCCTAAGATGGCGTCGTAAGCAGTGACTTGTAAACTTTTCACTGTCTTCATGTGAGTACATGTGCCAATAAAGCTGATTCATATGAATTCATGCTTTACCTTCTAAATTCCATAAGAATAAAGGCCTAATTTGTCTAATCTTACTTCATAACTTACCCCCCTCGAAGTCCACGTAACATCCTGCGTTGAACTTCCTCCACAGCCAAAACATCCTTCCTGAGGTGTGATGCCCAGATCTGCTCACAATACTCGAAGTGCAACCTAACTGCGGTTTTATATAACTGCAGCATACCATCTGTACTCCCACACTCCAGCCCTTCAGATATTGCCAGCATTCCATTCGCCTTCATAACTATTTTCTGTAACTGTCTGTCACATTTTAAAGAGCTATGCACCTGAACTCCCAAATCTCATTGGACATCCACTGTAGTTAACTTTGTGCCTTCTAAAAAAACGTACCCTGATCTAACCCTTTTCAGTCTGAAAAGGATAACCTCACATTTGATTAAGATCCATCTGCTGCAGCTTTTCTCATTCACCTGACCTATCAATATCCTGTTGTAATTTTAGGCTGTCATCACTGTCTACAATGCTGCCCAATTTTGTGCCATCAGCAGATTTGGATATTTGACTTGTCGTGCCATTACAAGTCGTTAATGAATATTGTGAATAATTGAGGACTCCCTCCCATATTAGACAACAGCCTATTGTGGGGGACTTTATCAAAAGTCTTCTGGAAGTCCATATAAATAAAATCCATCAACTTACCTGTCTACTATTTTTGTCACCTCTTCAAGAAGTCAGAGGTTTGTCAAGCACGACCTACCTTATGAATCCACGATGAAGCTCTTTGATTAACTGAAATTTTGCGAGGTACTAAGTTACCCTATCCTCGATTATAGGATCCAACAGATTCCCCACCACAGATGCTTGGCTAACAAGTCTAATTCCCTGGTTTCCCTCGGTCATCCTTCATAAACAGCAGTGACATGATGAAATTTCCAATCCAGGAGGTACCGCTCCTGAACCAGGGAACTCAAAGATTATGATTAGGGCATTGACAATGTGCTCTCCCCACTACCTCATTTAACACATGTGGATTAAATTGGTCAGGTCCTGGGGATTTGTCACTCTTCACTTCCATTAATTTACCCATTGATTTATGTAAACTAATTTATTTAGACCCTGTCCATAATCCTCTTAATTTCTTGACTTCCGGCAAGCTATCCTCCTTTACGCTATGAATACTGAAGCAAAATAATTGATCAACATGTCTGCCATTTCCTCATGGTCATTGACAATATCCCCACTCTCTGCCCTTAATGGGCCAACAGCACTCTTAACCAGCCACTTTCCCTTTATATAGCCATAAAATTTCTTTTTAACTGTCCTTTACCTCAATATAACTGGAGCTAATAATTCATCCTCAATATTTCCATGTACAGGGCCTTGATTCAGCCAGCAAGTTCTGTATCATTTAGCAATCAATGCCTTTTAAATTGTAAATGAAGGAACTGCATTAAGGTTTATTACTATACCTTGAACTATTGGTGAACTGAGAGCTATAGGTTGTAGATTGACCTGGAGTAGCTGCTGTAGTAACTGGCCGACTGGGACTTCCAAAAGACATAGGACCTACTGACGCTGGTCTCTTGATGTAAGGGGAGTATCCATGGTTATGAGACATCATTAGAGATGATCTATTCGAACTTAGCTGAGTAGAAGGGCCTGCCAAGTTGGAAACAGTGTATCGACTACGATTTGAAATAGGTCCAGAGCCAGTATAAGCTAAACACTGATTGCAAGAGCAGATTTGACTTCCATGGATCGATCCAAAAACAGCTGATGGATAGGGTGCATCAGAAAGTCTTTGAACTCGTCTTCTGAACCCAGTAGTTTTATTTATCTGACACAAGCTGGCGAAATTCACAATGTAGTTGTAACCGTAGTGCCCCAAGTCCACTATTTGATGCTTTGCAGCAAGACAATCCTCTATAAAAATGGAAATGGTCATTTCATAGGTCGTCCAGCCACCTTCATCATTTTCCCATTGCCATAACAATCCTTGTCCTGGTGCAGATGACTGAGCATATAGTTGCCTCCTAACTCGCCTCATTCTTCCTGTAAGAACATTGTGAAACGGGGAATTAAAATTAGAATCGAGACAGAACACATAGGAAAGCAGAATATTCATGACCGCACATAATCAGCACTTTTCCTTAGAACACACTGTACAGTAACTCAAGTATTTCATCTTCTAGAAGTGCACCTAGTCCTTTCCCACAATATTTTAAAGTGAGGTGAATAATTAATAAAGAGAGACCCCTAGGCATCACTAGCCCAGACCTCCTCAGAAAGCTCATCTCTCTGCCTTCCTAATTTAGATTTCATCAAGAAATCATATGCTTCACTGGTACCGTTTTCTAATGGAAACTCTGAGCAGAGAATGATTTTAAGGTAAAAATTAAGTATGGCTCATTTCTGCTGTTTCTAACTTCTGTGAGTAATGAAGGATAGACTGTTTCCTCAAAAGAATCAAATGTCAGGCCCCAACTTGTGTTGCCTTGGTGTTAGTTATAGGAATAGCAAATCTGGGAATAATTCAACTGGTCTGTTCTCTTAGCTGGGGAGTGACTGTGTAGACACAGGGAATAACAAATTGAACAAGCAAAAAAATGTCTGGCAGGACTTATTCATCATACAAGTTAATGAACCGATTGCACAGTAACAAGTGACACTTCTTGGGGAAAAAAGTTGTTTAACCTGCATACTTTTGTGGTCAGTCCAACCGCCAAACGCATGCAATTTAAACAGATTGCCCAAATCTGAAAAGTCATAAAATACAAGGTAATATATTTAATTGAATTGGCTTATAACTAGCAAATATGATGCTGGAGACGTCAAGGGAAGGACCATATCCTCAGCACTTCTGGCTGAAGGCACAAAGTGCTTCAGTTTTAACTTGCGAAGCTATTTTTTGGATTGCTTTATTGTGGATGAAAAAGTTAATTGCACCTCCTCCCTTCTTTAGTTCTTTCGTTCACTTTCACTGAATGTTCCAAGTTCTGCTCTTTACGGATTCATTTCAGTCTGTCTATTCAAGCATGCTTCTTTTGTTGCTTAGCAAGCGTGTAGTCCTGCCTTGTCACCTCAAGGCTTATGCCATGGTGAGGGAAGGAATCATAAAAGATCAAAATAAGAATTGCAAGTTGGAGTAAATGATACAGATGAGGCTCAGTGTTATCAGGGATTAATAAAGAAGGATGGATAGCATGGAAAATGTAGTACACAAGAAAATATTAAGAGAAAAAGACAAATCAGTAGAACATATTTAAAAACTGTGTATCTAAATGCACGCAGTATTCAGAATAAAGTTGATGAGCTGACGACACAAATAAAGACAAACGGGTATGACCTAGAGGGGATTGCTGAAACATGGTTACAGGAAGATCAGGACGGGAGTTAAATGACCAAGGGTACTCAGTATTCCATAAGGACAGACAAGAAGGAGCAGAAGATGGAGTTGCTTTATTAGTTAAGGATGACATCAAGGCTGCATTAAGAAATGATATTGGTGCTAGGGACCAAAGTGTTGAATCAGCCTGGGTGGAAATAAAACACAAAGGAAGAAACCCTTTGGTAGGAGTAATTTACAGGGTCCCCAAACAGTACTTCCGAAGTAGGGCATAGTATAAACCAGGGAGTAACGAGAGTTTGTGAGAAGGGCATAACAGTAATTATGGATGATTTGAACATGCATATTGACTGGATTAATCAACTTGGCAAGGGGAACCTTGAAGAAAGGTTTATATAGAGTATATGAGGAATTGTTTCTTAAGGGTGACATATCATGGAACTGGTTGTATTAGATTTGGTATTACGTAGTGTGGAAGGATAAATAAATAGTCTTGTAGTTAAGGATCCTCTCGGAAAGAGTGAACACAACATTCTAGAGATCAAATTTAACTTGAAAGAGTGAAGACAGAGTGTCATACTAGATTTTTAGTGTTGGACATAGGTAATTATACAGGCTGAGGAAGGAGTTGGCCCAAGAGCACTGGGAAAAAGTATTAAAGGGCAGGAGAACTGAAGAACAGTGGCAAATACTTAAGGAGAAACTAAACACCTCTCAGTTAAAGTATGTTCCCGAGAGGAAGAGGGATTGTTGTAAAGGTGAAAAATCATCCTTGGCTTAATAAAGAAGTCAAGGATAACAAAGGCAAAACCTAGGGCAGATCATACTGCAAAGGTTAGTGGCACCCTGGAGGGTTGGGAGTACTTTAAATGTCAGCAAAGGGTCACTAAAAACAAAATCAAAAGAGCTAAGATGAACTACAAAAGGAAACTAGCAGAAAACAAGCACTAATATCAAAAGCTTCTAAACGTATTTAAAAGTACATAAAAGAGAATAGTGAATGTAAATGTTGGCCCTTTAGAAGAAGAAAATGTCAAGGTAATAATGGGAAACTCAAATGGCAGAGGCACTAAACCAATATTTTGTCCGTTTTTACAGTATAAGATAATAATTTCTTCCCAAATACTGCAGTTACTGCAGAGGAATTTGGTGAAATTACTATAACTAGGGAGAAGATATTAAGAAAACATATGGGATTAAAGCCACGGCACGAGGTGGCAGCAGAGATAGTGGATGCATTAGTTATGATATTCCAAAATTCCTCGGATTCTGGAAAGGTACCAGCTGATTGGAAACATGCTAATGTGACACTCTTATTCAAAAACAGAGACAGGCAAAAAGTGGGAAGCTATAGACCAGTTAGTTTGACCTCTATAGTCAATCAAAAAGAAGGTGATAACTGAGCACTTGGAAAAACAAAGCTCAATTCACTGGTGTCAGCATGGTTTCACGTAGGGCATGGTGTGCTTGACAAACTTGCTGGAGTTTTGAGAATATAACCAGCAAAGTGGATAATGAGGATCCAATGAATGTGGTATATCTAGATTTCAAGAGGGCATCTGACAAGGTGCCAAATAAAGGACTAATCCAGAAGGTTAGATCCCAGGGGTTTAAAGGTGGAGTATTGGCTTGGATAGTGGATTGGTTGATTGACAGAAAACAGTGAGTCAGGATAAAATGGGTCCTTCTATGGATAACGAACTGTAATTAGTGGGGTGCCACAGATTCACTTCTTGGACTTCAACTATTTACAATCGATAAAAATGATCTGCAAGCAGGGATAGAGTGTAATGTAGGTAAATTTGCAGATGACACCGAAACAGTTGGGAAAGCAGGCTATGACGAGGAGATAAAGAGTTTACAGATGGATATTGATAGGCTACGAGAGTGGGCCAGAATCTGGCAGATGGAGATAAATGTGAACAAGTGCGAGGTTGTCCATTTTGGCTACAGAAAAATAAACAGGCAGATTATTATTTAAATGGGAAGCAGATTCAAAGTACATGAATGCAGAGGGATCTGTGTGTCTTTGTGCATGAATCACAGAAAGTGGGTATGCAGATGCAGCAATAAGAAAAGCAGATAGAATCCTGGCATTTACTGCAAAAGGACTGGATTATCAAAATAAAAAAGATTTGTTACAACTATATTAGGCGTTGGGGACACCACATCCAGAGTATTCTGTCGAGTTTTGGCCTCCTTATTGGGAGGAAGGATGTGGTGGCAATGGAGTCAGTTCAGAAGAGTTTCACCAGATTCATTCCAGGAATGAAAGAGCTGTCGTATGAGGAGTGGTTGAATAGCTTGGGATTGTACTCACTGAAGTTCAGAAAAACAAGGGGGAATCTGATTGAGGTATATAAAATAAGGGGATTGACAGGATGGACATTGAACAGATGCTCTCCTTTGCGGTTCAGCCTCACACAAAGGGTGAGAGGAGGTAGATTCAAAACTGAGACAAGGAGAAATTACTTCTCTGAGGGTTATGAATCTGTGGAACTCTCTGCCCCAGAGTGTAGTGGAGGCAGAATCAATCAACAGATTCAAGAAAGGCAGGATAAAGGGCTATGGGGAGCTGGCAGGAAAGTGGAATCGAGACCAGGATAAGATCAGCCATAATCGTGTTAAATGGCAAAATGGGCTCAAATGGGTGAAATGCCTATTCCTGTTCCTAATTTCTATACCTCATTATTTAGCATGCCTGCTGTTGCTGCTGGCATATTCACTGAGTCTAAAATGACCTCCTGGCCTGATCGTAATTAAAGAATGAGGAATATTAGGTCATGTGGTTATAGATGGTGGTTGAATAGAACTCTGTCACTGATGCCTTACTGCACTACAGGATGCCCAGTTTTGAGCAGCTGGATCTGTTCCGAATTTATTCAAGTTAGAGCATAAATATTGTTCCTCAATTGTGCTTAAACGTACGCAAGTAGGGGGCATTAATCCGAGTTCCACTTGAACAGATATGAAGAAAAACTCACTGAAACCAAGATGTAGATGAGTTAAGAGTCACATGCTGATAATATTTTACTCTAAATAAATGTTAGAGGAGTATGGGTTAGCCTCAGCACTATCCTTCACTAACAAAAGCAAATTGCTGGGAAACTCAGCAGACCTGGCAGCATCTGTGGAGGGAAAGCTTCATTCGATAATGTTATTGACAGAGGGGGAGGAACAACAAGTGAAATGGTTTGCAAGGCTGCCTAAAGCAAGAGACAAAAGCCAGTGACAATGGTGGTAAAGGAGAAAAAGAGATATTAAAAAGGCTGTAAATGAAGGTATGAAAGAGAAAATGGATCTGTTCTGATGAGAGGATCCCCCATTCAACTCCTCCCTCAGCCATGTCTTGTGTCTTTGTAGTTTCTCAAATCAGGTTCCAAACTCATGATAAAATTGGAAAGACATTCTTAACAGATAAGCCCCATGTGTTGGTGAAAATAATACTGGGTTTTTCTTGGCTGTGTATGCTGGTGTCCAGTGCCCAGATTGACAGTCTGTTTAGTTTTAAGCTTGTAGTAGCTTAAATCAACTGAGTCGTTTACTTTGCCACTCCTGAGAAGTTAGGGGTCAGTAAATCATTCTGACAATACGACATAACAGGTCAACTCGGAACCTATATGCCTTTCCAGGTCTATCCCGAAAGCACCCTCAAAACTTTTAGCCTTCCTCTCAGTTGCACAAAACCTCATGCATCACAAATT